TATATATATATATATATATATATATGAATTAATAGTTAGAAATATTAATTTAAAGATTATAAGTTTATTGATGTTTATTTAGATGCAGTTGATGACTTCTTCTTCTTTTTTCTTTCATCATCATATATTATAAGAATGAATATTGAATATCTCTTAAACTAATATGAAAACTATGATTGTTGATAAAAAATTAGGATTATGATATAAATGCGATGATTTTTTCCATTTCTTTGACTCATTCTCATGAGAAAGCTCCCAAATCAAAGGCGACATTGTACAATTTTTTTGTAGTAATTTGGGAAAATCATTTAGAAGTATATATGAAAAACGAATAACAAATAAAAGATTATTAGATTAAAAAAATATATTTATAATTGAAGTTATACAAGTGTGCTATAGTTTTATATACTATATATATATATATAATTACAGAATGCGTTTAGCCTAAATGGCAGTCTCGCACACTTCGGAATCCTACTTGGCGAAAAAACATACTTCATAGTTTCGTTTGGATAAAAGATAATATTATTCTAAATTAATCATAATTTTAGGTTCGAACATTTCAAAAATATTGAAAAACTGAATTGGTAATTTCATATATAATAGTTTGACTGATATAACTTTTAAGTTGTATGAGAACCTTTTGTAATGATATTGATTGACTAATATAACTTTGATTTGTTTTAGAAACTCTCAATCGGGTCATTAATTTCTATATTAGCCTAATAAATAAATATATTTAATTTTAAACAATTATTGATGTTATTATTATTATCTAATTTTAAAAATAATTTTTTTAACAAGTACCCGTGTAGGAAGTATTGTACTAGTGTATTAATATATCCCGACTAATATTCAGATCTACATGAAATTAGTAAAAAAAATAGCATAAATTGATAGTATATTACGAAAACACAACAAATTGATATTTAAACACGAAAAAATCTCTATTACAAATAGGAGAGATTTTTATTCAATTTTATTAATGAAGTCATAAAATTTTATAAATTTTAAAATAAAATACCCAAAATTATTAATTGTTAGTCATTAATTCCTTCATGAAAATACGAGAGATTTAGTAATCAACTCAGTCATTCCTTCACGAAAATATATCATCTTGAATATATTTTTTTTTTTAGCCAGCTACGGTATTCGGAGTTATGCCTCGACTAATTCGTTGGTCGACCCGAGTCGCACACCTGACAGTGGTGGGTGAGTCTCCCAACAAGGATTTTCTGCATCTACAAGACTCAAACCTGAAACTTTGTTTAAGTGACATCAAACTGCTTACCACTTGAACCAACCCCTGTTGATCATTTTGAATATTTAATATATAAAGGAATTACTATTTATTTAATGCACGGGTTAGAAATGAATTTAAAAATATATAATTCCAGTCATTTAATTCCAGAAGACTTTTACTTGCATGGACTTCGTAGAGATTCTAGAGAAAAACAAAATTCTACGTCTTTTTTGTCATCATATATAATATGACTTGTTCAAATCAGGGGTTAAATTAATGCCAACGACAACGACAGAATAAAACATCATTTCTGCATGCCTCATTAGGCTTATTCTTTTTTGGTACAAAGAAGAAGAGGCGAGGGGCCTTAGACTACGATATTACGACGGTGGACGATTCCTACAACATCATGTTTAAGCCACGGTTTCACCTCTGTAGAAGGGTCGTCAAGTATGTGAAGTTCGCCCGACATGGTCAATGCCAGAGATGCGAGATAATCCGCTGCAAAATTCACTTCACGATGAATATTAAAATATTGGTCATCATATTAACATGAATTTTATTAAAATATTGGTCTGTCCAGTAAATCTAATTATTTTCTAAATGATTTTCTAGGGGCTAAGAAAAACAATTGAAGAAAACTATTTTATTCATTTAATTATTATTTATATAAATTTTAATTATTTATTAATTATTGTGTATGATTTACATTTAGTATAGAATGTATTATGAAGTTCTAAAATTTTAGAAAAGTATTATATATGTCGTATGTATCTTATCCATATATCAATAATTTGAGGCTACCATATTCAATACTTACTAGTGGTTTTAATATTTGGCTTTTGAGCCATCTCTGATCCTCACAATTGAAATAATCACATTCTAAATATTTCTCTTGTCATGTGATATCGAGCAGGTTATCTCTCGATTGTTGTTGTTGTTGTTATTATTTAATTTATATTGAATTTTACCTGTTATAATTTTATTTTATTTTATTATTATTTTTTTTTATCTTATAAATTCTTCGTTTGGGTACGATTTTATAGATATAATTGTGTTCAACAATTTAAAAAAGAATCTAATTACCTAGTGATTTAGTGATCATGCTCATTGCCTTGGAACCTGGGTATGATTCCGGAGGGTATAACGGTAAATTAATAATTCTGTAAAACGAAAAAATAATATATTTCGCAAGTATAGAAGATGTGTTACACGCGCCAATTATAATTAAATATAAGAAACTTTCGCATATTTTTTTTTTAAACATAATAGAAAAACGCATATATTTTGTTAAATTCACAAGTTACTAACACATTTATCCACATTTGTCCAAAAAATGTGGATAAATGTTCGATCATCATTAATCTAACACATTTAACACATTTAACACATTTATCCAAAAAATCCATAAGTTCAATTCTAACACATTTGTCCACATTAATCTAAAGAATTCTTACTTAACACAAAAAAAGTTCGATCATCATTAATAGAATTATAATAACTGCAAAAAAGAGACCAAAATGTTTCAAAAGATACTAAAACAGGTAATTCTCTGCTCACACATTGTGATTTAATCCTAATTCCTATGACAAACTATTGGCTTATATATATACTTCAGATTAAAAAAAATTTCTCAAGTTTCAAATCCAAAAAAATCGACGATTTTTTAATCGACATGCGTCAAGCTGGCACGTTGGATCCAGGCATGTAATCGACCTCTTCCCAGATCAAATTGGACGTGATTTCATCAGTTTCTGAAATATGTTCCTGCAACGATTAAAAATTAAGGAGTGTTAATTTTTCACCGATTAACAAAAAAAAAAAAA